GTATGCTCTCTAATGCTGGGTTATGAAAACGGCGTGATTTTTGGGCCGAGGCCGTTTCTACTGCTTGCTATTTGGTAAATACATCTCCACATTCATCCCTTGATTTTAAAATTCCAGAAGAAGTTTGGTCAGGTAATCCTGTTGACTACTCTATTTTAAGAGTTTTTGGATATCCTGCTTATGCTCATTCCAGTACAGGTAAATTAAACCCGAGAGCTGTCAAATGCATTTTCCTTGGTTATGCTTCTGAGTCAAAAGGGTATCGTCTATGGTCTCCTGATTTTCGAAAAATCATTCTGAGTCGAGATATCACTTTTGACGAAAATGCACTACTTTCTTCTGGAAAAGTTCCTAGTACAGGTGAGACGTAGAGTACTGGTGAGAAGGTGGAGTTTGAGTTCAGGCCTATTGATAGTGTTACTACTGCTGATGGTAATACAAAAGATGATGCATCTACTAGCACCGCACCTCTCGTCGAGCCACAACGAGAGTATTCCATTGCTATGGATCGTCCTAGGAGGACAATTAAAAAACCTGCTAGGTACGCTAGTGACGATGAAGCCAATATGGTTGCATATGCTCTTTCAGTCACACAGGAGGTTGATGGTGATCCATCCTGCTATTCTAAGGTTCTTCCTGTTGCTAAGGGTTAGTCGGCTGTTAATTTTCACAATGGATTTGATCCAAGGTGGAGATTGTTAGTTTGTGGCTCTAAATCCATCAAGTCTCCCTACACCACGTAGCATGCAACATAGCATCCCTTCTTGCACGTTCGCCGATCTTCATGGAACTCCATAGAATTGCCGCATTTCTTGCTAAGCTGTAATGTATAAATAGCAACTTTGTTTTTATTGTAAATTGCTCAAGTACATCAATCCAATATTAATTCTTCCTTCCTTGTATTCTTTCACGTAGTCATACACACACACACACACACACACACACACACACACACACACACACACACATATATATATATATATATATATATATATATATATATATATATTTATATTTATTTATTTATTTATTTATTTCATTTCCCAATTATTTTGTCCTTTCATATTTTCCTCTATTATTTAACTTCTATAATTCTCAATTTTCGATTCTTCGCTTCCGTATTATTCCGCTATATTCCTAACACCTACCTATCCTATGCAGGGATCAACCGGTGAACACAATTGTTTCCGATTTCAAAATACCCTGAAAATCAATTTTTCATTCATGTGGGGGATTGTTGGAAAAATAACATTAGAATGACATTTTAAGTGGTTATTTTGTGGTACAATTATCAGTGGGGTCCACTTCCGGTTTGGGTCGGGTCAAAGTGAGATATATATATATATATATATATATATATATATATATATATATTATCTATATCAGTGAGGTTTTGGAGGACCCCGTTTGGACTATGTCCTCTCGGATGAAAGTTATGGACATTGCAGTCCCAGTATATGTAACGCGGTGTATTCCCACGTTATGAGGTTGGAAACTACCCGCCAGGCTTGGAATCCTGGTCAGGGGGTGTGCACGCTATTAGTTCGATACCTGATTCCACAGAGTTTGAGCATAGAACGAAGAGAGTAGTTCGGTGGACGAGCAGAGTATTAGGTCGGCTAGACGCCGTGGCCAAATAGATTCGTTCACAATATGGTGAAGTTCCTACCTCGTCCATTTATAAAGAAAGTGAGTCATTGCGACTCTAAGAAAAGAAAGAAAGGAAGTGAGTCATTGCGACTCTAAGAAAGAAAGAAAGAAAGCAAGCAAGAGACCTCCACAGAAAGTATTCTATATTACAAACGAGTATATGAGTATACTTATAGTATTGCACGAGATTGCATTTGAGTATAGTATTGCACGAGTTTGCATTTGAGTATAGTATTGCACGAGATTGCATTTGAGTATAGTATTGCACGAGATTGCATTTGAGTATAGTATTGCATGAGATTGCATAATGAGAATGATTAATCGAGGTTGTATATCGAGCATGATTGCTTTAGTTACATTTTGATGTCTTACATATCCAGTTTGCATGATGAGAACTTGAAAGCATGAAGATATTTTCGTATTGGTTGTTAGTATGAATTTGACTGATAACATGAGTTAGCTATTATGAGATTTGTTATGAGAAATATGTGTTGGTATATTTATGTTGATGAGTTGTTTATATTTGAAGCATGGGTGTTGATATTATAGGTTGCGAGCAAATAGAAAGCCTGTGATGTATCTAAAGTTGTCTAAGTGTTAGGTTGCTTGATTAAGTTTGTGAACAAATGTTTTTCCAAAGTGTATACTATAGTACTTTACAGGGTTGAGTGTGGTTATACTTAGCTTCATGCTAACGAGTGTTTTCCTACTTGTCTATGTGTTGTTTTGCAAAACCCCTTTCAGGTGGGCCCAGCGTTGGATAGATGATCTAGTTAGACTAGCTTAGTAGATCTAGTAGTCTAAACTCTTAGTATTATTATCATGATGTTATTTTGATGGATTTGTAGACGTATGATGTTTATGTTTGATGTTAAACTTCGGGGTGTTTTTCCCCCTTATGACATTTAATTAAGTAATATGAATGTTAGCTTGGTTTATTGTTTCAGTTCCATCTTTAGCCTGTGCAATCACCATGGAGTGGTGGTTGTGGCGGTGACATTCCCACTAGTTTATTTATTAAGTTGATTATCCGCTGCTTAGTTTACGTAAATTTCGGTTTTAGAATTGTAATTAAGATTAAGAAAAGTGGGGTGTTACAATAGGCTCTCTCGCACGCAGGGGAGGGGGGGGGGGGTGTAAATTAAATCCCATAGTGAGTTTGAAAAGGCTTGATTCAGGCTCAAACTCGTGCACGTCGGCACTTACGGGTATGAATGCCGTCCAGAAAGTGGCAGGCCTTGGGGGTTAAGTTATGCCAACTTTCCGAACGCTAGTCCTCCAGATAGAGTGGCTCGGTACGTGTATGTACTGTTCACCCGGGCTAAGTTATGCCAACTTTTCGACACATAGCTATTGAAGTGGTCCGGAACGGAGCGCTGCGGTTCGTCTCAGCAGTGAACGCCGGTCTTTCGGATGGAGCAGCTCGTCCGCTCAATGGTGAACCTTCACGCGGTAGATGTCATCCGGATCGGAACGGCCCGAGAGTGGTTCATCTCTACCGGAACAGTACGTGTCTGTACTGTTCATCAAATGACTATTTGTAGGATTAATTCAGCTGTTACGAAATTAATTCTATATTAATTCCAGAATTAATCTCCATGTTAAATGGTCAGTTTTGAAGGTTATAATCTGATTTTAAATTGGATTTAATGCCCGTGTTGAATGCTATTTACAACTCAGTCTTCTATATAAGTTTGTTATTGGGGCAATAGATTAACAAGCAAAAAAAAGTAGACACGACACACACACTAGATTTTACTCTCTCAAAACTCTGCTCCTACTCCGTTCTTGCAGATTGTGTTCTGCCCGTGCTCTAGTTTGCCAGGTTCGTTCGTTTGGGTGCTCAAACGTCGAATCGTAGTACGTTTTATCCTAGGAAGCCTAGGACACAACGCTCCTAGCACTTTTGGGAGGTGACAAATAAGGTTTAAAAGAAAAAAGGGTGTTTTGCTCGACTCGTATTTACCACTCTTCTTCATTTCTTTCTTCTCCGGTTTTGGGATTATGCTTTTAAGCAATAAATCCTTACTTCGTTTCCTTTTGGTTGGAATTATAATCTGTGGATTATAACTTCCATTTTTGGTTGATATAAATATTTTTCGTAGATATATATATATATATATATATATATATATATATATATATATATATATATATAGAGGATATATATCGAATAATATTTTATATACTTTCATGTGTATATATAAATATTATTTGGCGATATTAAATCGACTTCGGTTCATTATTTCCAACAGTAACTGCATTGGCGCAATCCGACTCCAGTTTCGCTATGGAGAGACCGCGATCTTTTAACAAATGGGGCTCACTGTTATGATTTGATTCTCATTCCTATTTCCTAGCTAGTGTGTGAATTCATGAACCAAACACAACCTTAGATAAGAGGGATGTTTTCAAAAATACAAACGATTTGCTCAATCGTTATATCGTGGACCAGGTTCCAAAGTGCACTGTGGATCTTGGTCCAATACACAAAATTTGACTTCATAAGGTACATAATTCATGTTCATAATGTACAAAATTCATATTCATAATACACATACACATAAACACGATATAATGAACATGAATTCTGTGCATTATGAACATGAATTCTGTGTATTATATAGCTGAGGACACATAAACATTTGACATAATACACATAATTCATGTTTATTATATCGTGTTTATGTGTATGTGTATTATAAATGAATTCTGTGCATTATGAACTTGAATTTTGTACCTTATAAAATCAAATTCTGTGTATTAGACAAGGGTCCACAATGCACTGTTGACCCTGGTCCACGATATAATTTGTTCGATTTGCCTATGGGCTGTTATGATATATAAGTACATATTTATAGTTTTTTAAATTTAAAACATCACATCATACATCGTATATTCAATTTTCCATACTCTGCTGCTGTAAACTATAATTAGAGCATCCATAATAGTTGAGATATTTCGCGATTTTTGAGGAGTTTTTGTAAATGTGATTAGGAAAGAGAATGTGGGAGGGGAGAGAAAAAAGAAATTAAAAAAAAAAACAAAAGGTAATGTGTCAGGCGCACCTGACGCGCCAGAGTGACACTCTTCTGTTTCCCTCATGCGTACACACCAAGTTTCTTTATTTGTTTTTATTTCAGTGTGGACCCACAATTCTACCACCCTTTGCAGGAGAAATAACTCCACAAATAACTACACCCCACATCTCTAAATAACTCCATTCAAATTTTTTTGACCGACAATAACCCCAAATAACTTCTATGGATGCTCTCAAAGCATGCATACATTATATTAGCATATAATATACTAATATAAGATTATGGCGTTTAAGTCAAAAATAAGATTAATTTACAAATTAAACACTATATTTTAATTAATATCTTTTAGTAGAGTTGCACTGCACGCTGTGATATGGAATGAAAGTTGATTTTATTGGAGAGTGTCAGTTTGAGGTTTGAAGAGGATGAGTGTGTCATTTGCATTCTTCTGTAGTTTTTCCAACCTAGAATTGCCCATGGCAACCCTTTGATCGAGCCAGCCAATGATGTCAAAAAACACGGTGTCGATGTTCTCAGGCAACTCCCCGTAGGTTAGAGAATGCCACATTCCGGGATACAATTTCAGGGTCTTGTCTCTGCTCGAAGCTTTTTCATGCAATAGTTTGCTTACCGATGGATCCGTAACTATGTCCTCCTCCCCATGTGTCACTATAAATGGCAACGTCACCTGTTTAACCACAACTTATTTAGATACAATAATGGGGAGATTATTACATTTAATCACCTTATTTATTTATTGGAGTTAACAATTTAGGGAAAATTATATTCTCAAATAAATCATTAAACTTTAAACGAAAATTAATTAAGTCCATGAACTTTTAAAAGTTGTCATTGGATACATTAAGTTGCTATTTTGGTGCATATGGGCCCAATAAGCTTGTTATCCATGGGTAATTAAGATTCCGTTTAGAGTTCCGACGGTAAATCGGTGAAAGGTTATGATTGCCTCATCACTGAAGAAGACAACTGCACCATTTTGTTCAAAAGAAGAAGGCAAAGACACCGATGAGGTCGCCTTTTTAAACTAAGGAAGAAGGTGGCATCAAGGTCGTCTTCTTCAACTGAGGAAGAGGGCAACCGGTGTTGCCTTCTAATTCTTCAAAAGGAGACAATGTCGAGGTCGCCTTCTTCAACTGAGGAAGAAGACGGCATTCACCTTCTTCGGAGGAGGAAGAAGGCGACGTTCGTGCTTTTTCCCCTGAGAAAGAAGGCGACATTGGTTGTCTTCTTCAACTTAGGAAGAAGGCAGCAATCGCTTTCTTCTTGAAGAAGGCAATGAACATCGCCTATATCTTCAGAGGAAGAAGGCGATGATCACTCTTCTTCATCTGAGAAATAAGGTGACCGATGTCCCCATCTTCTTCAGTTGAAGAAGGCAATGCCAGTTGCCTTCTTTAGTGATGAGTTAACCGTTGACAGTCTACAAGTCACCGATTTTATCGTCAGGACCTTAATTATCGGATATTACTGGTTACTTGGCTTTGATGTATCAAAATGACAAGTTAATATGTTCAATTGCAACTGTTGAAAGTTCAGAGACCTAATTGATTTTTTGTATACAGTTTAATGGGTTTATTTGACGATTTTCTCAACATTTTATTATGCTTAAAAACTCTAGATTTTTAGTTAAAAAGAGAGTTAAAAAAAATCCTTCATTGTTATAATTATTAGGACGCTATGTATTTGAGTTAGATTATGACTCTCTATCCTAGTCTCCCTGTGATCCCCTCACTATATATATTCTTGTATCCTGTATCTTTGTAATTAAGTTTATTCAATACAATACATTCAGTTCTCATCTGGTATCAGTTAGCTAGGGTTTTTTTTTTCTCTAAAAAAAACCAGTCTTCTTCCCAGAGTTCACGACTTTTTCTTTCTTCGTGCCAAAATTCACAGTTTACAATTTGGATGCAAAGTTCACAATTTACAATTTGGATGCAAATTCCAGCTACATACAAATCTTCCACCGCAACAAACTGATGAGTAGCATGACGCAGACGAAGCTGTTGCCACGCAATCTGATCCGATGTACCTATTTATGATCCGATCTGCCATAGTACGAGATCTGACGTATACGAATTTGCTGACAATTTCTGAAATCATGCAACAAGGTGATGGCAGTTGGAATCGTGGCAATCCGCATCGCGGTCAGCAGTGTGGCAGACGTGGCTTTAATCTTCAGTGTCAAATTTGTAATGGTTTCAGTCAAACGGGAGCCAATTGTTTTCAATGCTTTGATATGCAATGTCAAATTTGTAATGGTTTCGGTCACACAGGAACCAATTTTTTTCGGCGTTATTCAGGGGCTCCGGGTTCTCAGGATAATTTGGTGTTTCAGGATGGTTTGGGTGCTAAAACCTCGTCAAATTCTCATACTTGGTTTCCAAACACTGGACCCACAAATCATGCAACTCCAGACATAGCTTTCCTTTCTACCTCGGAGAAATACACTGGTAATAACACTGTACGTGTCAGTGATGGTATGGGCCGGTCTATTAGTCGTGTTGGTCATGCTACTTTTGATACCCCTTCTAGGTCTTTTAAGATGTCTAATATTTTGTATGTCCATGTCTTGTCTGCTTCTTTACTTTATGTTCAGCGTTTTGCTTCTGATAATCAATTATTCTTTGAGTTTCATCATTTTTTCTTTGTCGTGAAGGATATCACCACCAAGGCAGTGTTATTTCAGGGCAATAGTTCTGGTGGGCTCTACCCCTTGCCAGTGTCTCGTTTTACTCCGCCTGCGTTCCTGTCAGCACGAGCCTCTGCTTTCGTCTGGCACAACCATCTTGGTCATCTACATCAGCGTGTTCTTAGCCGTGTCTTGTAGTCCTGTTCGGTTAGTGGGTCTAGTAAGTCTCTTAGTGATACTTCAATTCGTTGTGTTCTGGATGCCAGCTAGGAAAATCTTCACATTTTCCCTTGCCACGTGTTGAGTCTTCTAGTTCTGACATTCTTGATTTAGTTTACACTTATATTTGGGGTCCTGCCCCAATTCTTTCATCTAGTGGACATCGTTACTTTGTCATATTTGTGGATGACCACTCTCGTTTTAGATAGCTTTTTCCAATGCGCTTAAAATATTATCTATATGATATTTTTGAGCGTTTCCGTGTCATGGTTGAGCGTTCCTTTTCTTATAAAATAAAAGCTATACCGTCTGATTTGTGTGCTGAGTATAAAAAGTTACATTCTTTGTTTCTGCAGTTAGGTATTAATCATAGACAATCTTGTGCATATATTCATGAACAGAATGGTCGTGCTAAAAGAAAACATAGGCATATTATTGAAACTGGATTAAATCTCTTGGCTCATGCCTCTGTTCCATCTAGGTTTTGGGATTTTACCTTTGAAACTGCTGTTTATTTGATAAATAGAATGTCATCCAGTGTCTTGAATAATTCCAGTCCTCATCTTATGCTGCATAAATCCCCTTCGTCTTATTCTTTTCTTCGTGTCTTTGGTTGTCTATGCTATCCTCACTTGAGACCTAACAATCTTCATAAAATGTCCTACATATCCTCTCCGTGTGTCTTTATAGGTTATCCTGACTCTTTTTGGGGGTATAGGTGCATGGAATTACAGACTAATAAGATATATATTTGCAGGCATGTACGGTTTGATGAGGTAGTTTTCCCCTTTGCTACTAAGACTGTTTGCAGGTACATCCAGTTCCACAGGCTCATCATTGGGCTGAATCCATTTTGCAGCCATGTCATGACACGTCAGCTGTACCTATGGATTCTGTACAACAAGTTTCGACTGCTCCTATGGCGGCTAATAGACGGGCACGTGGCCGTCCACGTGGTCGCTCTACAAAGCCAACCACACGGACTCATGCCATGACCACTAGGAGTCGGTCTCGTGCTCCTCCTGCGGTCCTAACTACACAGGTTTGTCTTACTGAGCCCACTTGTTATATACAGACAGTTAACGTATCCCGAGTGCCGTGAGATAATGGATCAAGAGTTCAATACTCTTCTACAGAATCAGACATGGTGCATAGTTTCTTCTAGAATAGATATAAATGTTATTGGTTGTAAGTGGATGTTTCGCACGAAAAGAAAAGCTGATGGTTCAATTGAGAGATACAAGGCTAGATTAGTAGCAAAAGGCCAGGGTTCAATCAGGTTCCTGGTCAAGATTTCTTTGATACATTCAGCCGGTGGTAAAACCCACTACTAGTACTGTCAAAGCGAGCTGGCCCACCCCACCGCGGGCCTAATTTCTAGCGGGATTTTGCAGGCCGGCCCGTTAGGCCCCCGGGTTAGGGTTCATACAACCCTAACCTGCCCCACGCGGGTTAGCGGGCCCCGCGGGATTCTTCTTCATTTTTTTTTATTTTTTATAATTCAACTAGGTAAAGTAATAAACTATGCATTAAACCAAAATTGCCAGGAGTCCATTAAAAATAAAAATGGTCTTCAAAAAAAATTAAAAAAATAAATACTAGAAATCAATGGAGCATGGAGGTCGATGCCAAATGGCGGAATGGGGGCTACGGCTTGCGAAGCGAGACGACCTGCGTACTAGCGAAGTGGCAGTTGCAGCTAGGCTGGAGGTTGGAGCAGCGTATAACGTATTGGCGACCCTGGAGTGGTGGCTACTGTCGTGGTTCGCGAGGCTGGTGGCGTCGCTACTTGCTAGTTGCTGGAGGCTGGACGCACGACGATGCTTCTTCTTTGTATTTTGTTTTTTATTTTTTATTTTTTACTTCCCTCTGTAAATAGTGGAGTTAATACACACCCTTTCCATCTCACCTTTCCTTTCCAATTTGGCAGATCTACGATTGAATACAACCAAGATCCTTAATATACACTCCCACCATCAACAGTGCTCTCTTCTCCCAATGGCCACACCGCCTTCATCCAACTACTCTGCTCTCGTAAGCTATTGAACACGTGATTCCATCCCCATCCCTATCCAAAATATATGTATGTGAATACGTATAAGCTTCTCGATTCTTGATTTTCCGGTCAATGGCAGCCATTTGTCGATTTAGTGAATTATTTCTTGGCGCACACTGATTCTTGTTGCTACTACACAAAACCCTCCCTCAATAATCAATAATCAATCAGGCTGCTTCTTTCTTTAGTGTTTAGGATTAGGATTAGTCCGGTTAGATATCTCATTATTCTCATATACTATTACTATATTTTTATTTTTAAATATGGCTTGGCCCGCGGGCCATGTTTTTTGTAGCGCTAACCTGCCCCACCGCAATGCAGGTGCGGGCCAGTCCGCGGGCTTCGTCCCACTTTGACAGTACTACCCACTACTATCAGGTTACTCTTACCTTTGGCTTTATCCTTTGGTTGGGTCATTGGACATCTTGATGTTCATAATGCCTTTTTGAATGGTAACTTAACAGAAACTGTGTATATGCGCCAGTCCCCTAGATATACTGATACTCAGTTTCCTAACCATGTCTGTCTGCTGAAACAATCCTTGTATGGCTTAAAAAAGGCTCCTAAAGCTTGGTTTAATCGCCTACACACGTTCCTTCTATCCATTGGGTTTAAAGCATCAAAGACAGATGTGTCATTATTCTATTATTCGCAGGCTTCTCACATTGTGTATCTATTAGTTTATGTTGATGATATACTTGTGATGGAGAGTGATTAGAATCTAGTCAATGTTTTGCTATCAAAATTGTCAACTGCTTTCAAAATTAGGGATCTTGGTGAACCTGGATTTTTCCTTGGAATTGAAACAGTTAAATGTGATGATGGAATATTGCTTTCTCAGAAAAGATACATGACAAATATTCTAAAACGTGCTGGTATGACAGACTGTATTTAAATCTCTATCTACTCCTATTCCTGTCTTGAAATTTGTTCCTTTCAATACAGATTTGTATGATCATCCTACTCAGTATAGGAGTTTAGCTGGGGCACTACAATACCTCACGATCACAGGGTCTGACTTGTCCTTTGCAGTCAATCAACTTTGTCAACATATGTATGCTCCTACAATCTCACATTGGGAACAACTGAAACGTGTCCTAAGGTATGTTAAGGGAACTATTACTTATGGTCTACGTATAATGAAGTCAGCATCTAGAGAACTTCATGCATTTTCCGATTCTAATTGGGCTGGCTGTCCTGAAGACCGTAAGTCAACTAGTGATTATGCTGTGTTTCTTGGGTTCAATATTGTATCTTGGGTTCAATATTGTATCTTAGGTTCAATATTATATATTGGGTTTGTAAGAAACAAAGAACTGTTGCTAGATCTTCTACTGAGGCTGAGTATAAGGCTCTAACAGATGTCTGTGCGGAGGTAATCTAGATTCTATCATTGCTGTGCGAGATCAATGTTCCAAATATCCATGTTCCTAAGTTGTGGTGTGACAATCTTGGTGCTATATACATGTGTGCAAATCCAATTTTCCATGCTCGCACCAAACATGTGGAGATCGATTATCATTTTGTTAGAAACAGGGTTGCTTCTGGAGATATTCAAGTAAATTTCATTTCAACCAAAGATCAACTTGCTGATATTTTTACTACAGCTCTAACTGGCCGTAGATTTTCTTTTCTTAGCTTAGACACAAGCTACATGTTACTAGTATACCCTGTACTTGAGGGGGAATATTAGGCCTCTATGTATTTGAGTTAGATTATTACTCCTATCGTAGTGTCCATGTGATTCCCTCACTATATATATTCATGTATCTTTGTAATTAAGTTTATTCAATACAATACATTCCGTTCTGATCTCATCATAATTGCCATCACTTATTGAATGTAGTTAGTCACACCAGCCACCAACAAATTAAACGTCATCGAAAAACTCGACCGAACCATGATATGCAGTTCAGATTAATGAAGATATTGTCTACGGACAGAAGAGCCGCAATAGTTACTCAGGTGGTATGCAAGACTTCTCAAACAGAGTCAGCCTTGGATAGCCAGATTATTAACAACATCAAAGAAGCTTCAGGTTCCTCCGATGAATTCAGCTTCAATCTTGTAACACAGTTTGCGATTCAAGTTTCTTTTAGCATTGCTAGGAAAGTTGTTTCTCTGTCTGACTGTAAAGAATGTTTTATCATTTTATCGATCTTTATTGTAACTGTTTCAACTTATGATTAATGAATTAGCTCTTTATTTAAAAAAAAAAAAAAAAAAAAAAAAAAAAAAAAAACTCGACTGACTAGTTCGTTAGACATGTTAACACCGTTAGTTTGAAATATATAGCCTTGGTTGTCAAAAACTTTCTAGCAATCATGCACATTCGCTTATATTTCTGCTATTAGTAAAACCCAAAAGTCAGGTTTATAAGCAACTAAGCACGTTGTATGAGTTATAATAACAGATATTGATTTATACATCACAATATTTAACTATATATTAATATACAGTGTTGCAAAATTCCCGTCTAGGTATCGATCGGCCGCCTAGCGTATCACCTAGGTCTCCTAAGCACCGACTAGGCGATCTTTTGATCTGAGGCCTATTAGATATTGTTCAAACTCTAAATGTTTTTTAGATTAATATTTAATATTTTAATATTAACTATTAAAGTATTAAATAATTTATAATTATTAGTCTTTAAAAAATTAAAATATTTTAAACAATTTTTTTAAAAATAAAAAAATAATAATACAAAATACACGGACTCTTAAGTGACAACTAATCGCCGCCTAGACGCTTGAGGAGCGCCAAACAATTTTTTCAGCCATGTTAATATATATATTAAAATAAAAAAATTAGTCTACTCTCGATGAAAATTAAACCTTCCATCTCGATCATGTAAAAAATATGTCTCCTCCAAACGTGAGCGATATCGCAACTTTTAGTACTAAGCTTAAATGCATATATGTATCATCAAATTGATAAATAATATACCATATTAATGTTGAAATATATATATATTGTTGTAAAAATGAAGAAATAATTTTGCATGTACTTGTAACTGACCTCATCAAGTCTTCTCTCCAAATCCAGGCTGACGGAGAGCAATTGGTAGCCAGTTTGCAGTCGGGGTCGGCCCTTGTAGCACAGTGGGTTGGACCTAACCTGCATATCATCAGATCAATAGTTATTGCGTGGACCTGGTATGCACATCTATCACATTTTCTGTTCATTGATCAAATCAACTTTTTAATTTTTGTTTATTTTTTTTAGTATTTTTACTTATTTTTAATTTTTTTTATATTTAATAGTACTTTTACTGTAATTTTTAAATATATAAATTTTGTATACTAATATTAAACTTAATATTATGAAAAATTATATTGAATTAAAAATAACTTCAATCAAACTTTTCAACTGAATCAGTCATATAAAATGAGATGGAGGGAATCTTTTTTTTTTTTTTTTTTTTTTTTTTTGCATCTATACAACTCCAACTCATTTCTAAAATATTACAATAATAATAATAATAATAATAATAATAATAATAATAATAATAACTATTGAATCTGCTTTTCACGCACCCAGCTGGCGTCATGCTAAGACACGGCACTATGCCTTCTATGCGACAAATCTTTTCTTATTCTCTGAAACAATAGGTCTCACAAAAAAAAAAACTAAAATAATAGGAAAATAAAAAACTCTCAAAAAATATACCATCCCATTTGTTCAAACACAACTCCATAATTTTTTCTCCTACAAAAATTAATTCAAAATACACTAATGGAATTGTCCTAAGTCAAGTCGTCTGTTTTGTTTTGTTCCACTTTTTTCCCATTCTCTAATGATGTGATTGGCGTTTCCACTCATTTGACGACTCGGTCAGTAGAATCCATAAGCCGCCAGAAGCGGACGATTGACCAGTGGAGTCGTTGCCATGTTTTGGAATTTTTATGTCGTTAGCATATATTCTAAGGTTTTTTTTTTAGAACTTGCAAATATTATTTAAGTGTATTGTGTGTATTATTGGGTAAATCTTAACGTGATCTTAGTTAGCAAAGAACGACAAGAATGTAAACTAGTCTAAATTGTCTATAGTTAACTAACTCAAACCGAAAAAGTTAATAGGCAGCTTCGACTGAAATCGAACTTAAAATTTTGGGTGTGTTCGATTGATGAGTTTTGTCCATAGGAATGAGTATGAAAGTGATTGTTATTGTTTAGTTGATATGTTTTTTGAACACTACTATGGGTTTCGAATACCTCATGAATTAAAAAACTCATACCAAATAAAATAAGAGTTTCATTCTCAAGCACTACTATGTATTAGTAACCATTCTCATTCCACCATACTACCAAACATGTTAAATACTTTCACCAAAATCCATTACTATTACCAAGTATTTGATACCCATTTTGATTTCTATGTACGAACCAAACACACCCATTATAATTATAAAATTAACAGTTTTACCAACTTGGTTGATGTTGCTATTCATATTCTAATGTTTTTTCTACGTGGATTTTCGTCAAAATTGGGCATCGGGCATTATTGATTTAGCTTGGCAATCAAGAAAATAATAATTAAAAAAATTGTAAATAAACAATTATATATTTAATTACCTCTTTTCTTATTGCTGGGTCCCTGAAGGCAGCATCAATGATATCTTGAGTTGGAATGATCTTCCAAGTGGGAATGATTTTGCTAAGCTTTTTTAAAACACTCAATACTATTGCTGGTGGCTTCATTTCCTCTGCAATCTGCAAGTGGGAGTGGGACAACCACATCATCTTTCATCATTTCATCAAACAATTAATATCTATAATATGTAACAATTCAAATTTGTATTAAATTTTCAACAATAAATTTTACAATTTCTTTCACAAATAACATTTCATATACAACTATATAAGTATTATAATATTTACATTAGAATTACACATTATAAGCCTCACAATTCTAATTCTAAGTATCATAATATTAATCATTAGTAACCATCATTTTACCCTAAATAGTAGCATAATTTCACATATAAATTAAATATAATAATATCTATTATAAGTAACAGTTTATTTATTTCAAATTAGTATTAAATTTTTTGTAATATGTATTATGATTTCTGATCCATAATAAATAACAAACAACTATTCTAAATTCGACTGGTTTTCATGGATTAAGATCCGTGAAATGATCTCATCACACAACTACACAAGTGTGACTCATATCTTTTTACTGTGAGTATTTAATATATGGAAAATACTTTGTTCTCCTCCTAAAATTTCTCTTGACATGACTTATAATTATTGAGTGTAATGAATTGATTGACCTACTCATTTGTTATCGAAGACTAAATCATCCAATGAAATAATAATATCCTCTATCTTTTATTTCTCATAAGGGTATTATAAATATGGTTGATTAAAGAAAGATAATAAGGTGTAGTAGTAGTGCACACACCTTGCACATTGGTGCCACAAGGACAGCACCATCCCAAAAATGAGGCTTTTTTCTATGTAAGAGAAGAGCCATAGCTCCTCCCATTGATTCTCCCACCAATATCCTCATCCTTTTCACATTTTCTTGCCTCTCTGCAACATCTCATCACAAAATAATAATAATTCAGAAGATTAATGAATAAAATGTTAAAGTATGCTTTTATTTATTTATATATTTCAAGTCATTGACAGCTAACATATATGTGCGCCCACCTACATTATCATAACAGAAATACAATGTCACATTGTAATAACATAGTACAATGATTTTGTTTGATAATTAGCTATTCGTGAGTAGCAAAGAATAATGGGATAGATGTTCGACAATTAGCTAACATCTAATAGGTGATAACAAATTGTGTTAGTCATTTTGACTAGTTGATAGTATTAATTAGATGGTTATAGAAAAATGTTTGGTATATTAGTTGTTTACTTTTAACATATTATTACACATAAAATGACCTATAAAAGTATAAGTATATTGTGCTATTTACTTAATTATTAAATTAAATTAGTCATGGGTATGAGCTCAAGTGGAGACAGTATTGATTTTATGTACTTCAATAGGATGAGAAAGTAGATATAAACAAATATTATATAGTAACAGAGCCACTACTAGTACTAAAAAATATATATTATGCTATTTACTTAATTATTAAATTACATTACAATTATTATTATTCTTCCAAAAGGCTGAACCCCAACCCTAAGGGCCCCCCACACCCCGACTACCCATGAGTCAATGAGAATCAATCTTATCCATTAAAAAAATAGATCTATTGATGAGATTAATTGGAGGCTTAAAAATGTGTATGTGCATATTAGACATTATGATGTGTGTATATTAAGCATGTCCATATGTTGCACAAACACATGCTTAACATGCACAAATCATAATGCGCAAAATGCACACGCGCATTTTTAATCTCTCCAATTAATCTCATCCATAGATCTATTTTTTAATGGATGAGATTGATTCCCATGAACTCATGGAAAGGTTAATTCCCATATATATATATATATATATATATATATATATATATATATATATTTACAATCAAATGAGATAGCATCTTCCTGTGAGACTGTGAGACACAACGTGAATGCCCACCGTGAGTGTGTGAGCTTAGCCCAACATGACTTACATGAGTGCACAGAGTTTAGTGTGTGTGTATTTGTAAAGTAGACTATGTGCATTATTCACGTTGTCTCACAATCTCATAGGAAGATGTTGTCTCATATATATATATATATATATATATATATATATATATATATATATATATAGGTTCAAATGAGAACAACACTTCTTCTAAAAAGTGAAAACTAATCTTAACTATCCATTAAAATTCATCTTGTTTAGAATTTTAGTAAAAAATATATACTAGGCTATCCAATTTTATAATTATTAAAATCTTTCAAGTTTGAAATATTTATAAGGAAAATACTACATAGACTCTCATTTCTTACTCCCTCTCACAAATCCTTGATGTAGATACTTTTTCTGGACCCACATGATAAAAATATAGTGTTTGCCTGTAAAAATAGTAATGGAGTAGAATTTAAGAGTACATGTAGTAGAACTCTATTTATAAAACTAACCTACCATTTTCTTTATTTTTATTTTTTAGTCACCTTTCACAATCGATCTACCTAAATAAGTAGATCAAATTAGTCTATACCTTTTACTTGATCATGAGAACTTATTTTCACCATAACTCTCTACTATGTATATATATGGATAACTTTCAAGAATGTAGCTTTTTTGGTTACCACATATATTGGAGTAATGTTGAGAGCAATCCGTGACAACAGCATCAAAGCTGGGGACGAATCCCTGAAGACCTTCTGACTTCCCGTGCCCTTCATAGTCCATTCCGTACACTGCGTACCCTGCGTTAACCAGCCTCGTTGCTGTACCTGCGTGCACTTTCTACTATACATTCAAAAACGTATACGTATACTGTACTGCCAAAAATACATACGTATACGTATCGGAAAACAAAATACTATACGTATTTAGTTGCGAATTAAGGATGGGAGTAGATGGACCTTTCATGGAAACACTGCACTCCATGGCGTATCCATGGCAGAGGAAGATCAAAGCCTTTGGCTCGCAGCTTCTTGGCACCCATCTGCACGTGAAAAGCTTCATTCCTCGCGAACTCCTCACCATTTCCTGGATGGATTTAACCTTATTAAAAGAAGAAGAAGAAGAAGAAGGAGAGAGAGAGAGAGAGAGAGAGAGAGAGAGAGAGAGATTGAAGGTTATATATAGGAGAAGTGATGACCAACTACCTCTTCATATATGATACTGCTGGTTTCATCTTCAGTAATAGCCTGTAGAAAATATGATCCAAAAAGAGAGCAAAAGATGGTGAGTGGGGGTGGAGCAAAGGGAAAATGGAAGTGTAAATTAATTCATTTGGCCGGGTTGATGATGAAAACATGTACCATGAGAATTGAAGGGTGTGTAGGCACTGAGATTTCAAGAAATTTAAGCTTGAGAGAGAGAGAGAGAGAGAGAGGGTGGGGGTTGGGGGAGAGAATCAGACATACAATGGTTTGAGACCTTGAGTGTGTTTATATATACACACACTTAAAGTCAAAACTAACTGCTGAAGAGAAAACTTTTTTCTTTTTTAGAGTACTACTAATTTTGTGTAAGTTCATATTAATCTCATTCATTGATTCAGTCCGCCACTTGATTTTTTATTTTTTATTTTTATAAATGTAGTGGCATTATGATAATTTTGTTTTTGAGTGCATTTTCTCCTTCTCCCAATGCATATTTTTTTCTTTTTCGAATGCATATTTTTGTCTCTTTTAGAGCACAAACTCTCCCTTCGAGTGCATACTGTTGCGAATTCCAATGCACAAATTTGGACCACTGCAAACTTCACGAACACATTCCATTTTATGTTTTCATTCTCATGCAAAGCTCGTCTATAATTTTTGTTGAAGATCCTGTATTGGTCATAAATTAAAAACAACCATACAAATTAGCAAATACATACCATTAAGGTTGACATACTAGCCAAACATTGTTTATTAGAGTTAATACCACAAATGGTCCTATGACTATTGGGGTACGGTAGTACTCCTTTTAGTCCTTGACTTTTAATTCGATCAAAACACATACCTGGACTTTTATTTTTGATCACAAATAGTCATCCGTTAGTCTTTCTATTAAGTGAGTGTTAAATTTAAAGGTATTATCGTAAAATCAAAGAAAAGAATAAAATAGTTAACAACAAGTCCATTTGAGCTACCTTTCTTGATGCTGCAATTCAGAAATGCAAACAAGCAAATCATAACCAAGATAAGATAACAGACAGGGAAAATAAAAATAGACTTATCAGGGAATTGAAAGACACCATGCGGAACCCCAAAAGCTTTGAGCCTTTCATTAACAATTGCTAAAGCAGGTCCCTGAATATCTCTCAAGTTTTTGATCACCTACACAAGGCAACAAAGCAAACCCAAAAAAAATTTATTAGGGTTCCAGCTAATTCAGAGAAGAGATCTTTCACCACTGGAATGGGAAACTTATTTTTCACAGTGATACTATTCAGTGCTCTATAATCCACACAAAACCTCCATGTATTATCTTTTTTTGGAACCAATAGAACAGGTGAGGCAAAAGGTGATGCACTCTCAGTAATAACCCCAGTTTGCAGCATCTCTTCTACTAACTTCTCTATGACATTCTTTTGATCAAAGGAGTACCTATAAGGCTTTATATTCATAGGTTGGGATCCAGCTAATAGGGGAATTGAGTGGTCATACATCCTCTTTGGAGGTAGAGTCTTAGGTTCATCAAACAACTCCCTAAACTCTTGTAGTATAACATTTAGCTCCTTGCAATCAGTTTCACCCTCCATCCTGAAGCAAACATTCTGACCCAACTCAGGGTCCTCACTAGTCAGTCCTGCACCATGAATAAAAAAATCCAAATATTCCATGTTTTTGCCATTTCTTAAGGTCCCCTTTTGTCATAGCTTGTAACCTGTTTGATTCCATAGACATCCCTTTCAACAACACTTTCTTACCCTCTTTAATGAAGGAAATGCCCAAGGGTCTAGTGTGGAGTTGGATAGGAGCATATTGGTCTATCCAATCCATACCTAGGACCATGTCACATCCCCCAAGCTTTAAGAGTCTAAAATCTTTCTCAAATGCCTCTCCTTGAACCTGCCAAGACAGACCTCTGCAAATGGTATCACATCTCATTTGCTCCCCATTGGCTACAGTCACATTCAGTGTTTGAGCTCTTTCAGGAACAACCCTTAGTTGTGTGAGAATTTTGGGGTCCAGAAAACTATGGGTACTCCCACTGTCCACAAGGATTATGACTGACTGTTTGTGGATTGCCCCTAGCAACTTGATGGTGTTAGACCCTCCTTCCCCATCATAGCATGGAAGGAAATTTCAACCATTTCAACCTGCTCTTTGGAGTCAGGGTTCTCTTGTTCATCCATGCTCAATTCATTTGTTGCATCTTGGAATTCACATTACTTAATATTGTAGAGGGTGGATCCTTTACACCTATGCCCTGACTGCCATGATTCAAAGCATTTAAAACATTTGTTTTGCTCTCTGAGCTGTGTTCAAGACTTCCCATTCTTAGGCCCTTTTGCTGTACTACTCAAGCTGTTGGAAGCAGTGGTGTAACAACCCAAAATTCTATTTTATAAATTCAATTTTAAGAAATTCCAAAATCGCCATTTTCACTCCATTAAAATTTTTTGCGATCAATTGGTGTTTGAATAAAATTATTTTAGTCATATTTTAAATTAATTCGACATCAAAATTTATCTTATTCAAAATTAGTAAAATCTCGAGTACTTCGCGTACTAAGTTTTAAATCGAGAAATTTATCTGAGTGAGACCGGGAGAATTCAAAAAGATTTTAAACAAGGGTTCATCTAATTTGCTTTTTGAGAAAATTCATTTTCAACCCCAAAGTATTCAAAGTTAGCATTTCTAGCCTTTGGACCATGGAGTATGGTGAACCACTAGCCTCCACCTTTGTCTGATGTTTTAATTCAGAGCCAATAAGATTGTTCCTTTCATCAACCAATTATAAGAAGATCTTCTAGGTTTTTGGACACTATAAAACTCACCTCTTCCATTCTTAATTTCCTGATCTTCCCTACCTAGCAGCTCAGCAAGAAACCAAAGGAAAACACAGTACGTGTTCCTAGGCCAATCTCATCCATTCTTTTTCCTTTAAGGTTTTCATCCTCCTTCGCTTCAATCTTTGAGTTTGGTTAGGTTTGGCTTGTGTTGTTAGTGGTGTCTAGATGGTGTTTGGATTGGTGTTGAGTAGTATGGAGGCTGAGGTTCACACAAGGAAGAAGAAGAAGATGCAACAAGAGGTATAACCCCATGGATTCCTTCTTGAATTTGGCTCTGTGAAGCCTTTATATTGAGTAGAAATGAGTAGAATCTATGAGATTTTGTTGTGTTTATACTTAGAAGTGATCTAGTATTTGTATGTGAGTTGTAGAGATTGTTTTGGACTTGTTTGGATTGAGTTTTGCATATGAGAAAGCCTTCTAGTGCACACACAGTGTGCACCAGATCAGACTAACGGCCCTAGCCATGACCCATCTGGAGGGCCGCCAGCTAGAGCCGTGGTTGCACGGGACTAGGGCACGCCCCTAGAGGAGGGCCGCCGCCTAGTCCCGGTGGAGTAGCGGGGTACATGGGCCGGACCATGAGGAGTCCCGCCCCAGGTCCCTGACTTTGATTCTAAGAAGAATCTGTCCCGTGGTCGGGCCCTTGTGGCTCAGCTACGTGTCGTTTCGAGCCGAGTGTTACGGGCCCTTGTGGCTCGGCTCTTCAGGGCCGTCTCGACGCACGTTTTGGCTTTGATTTCATTGAATTTGGATTAAAAATGAGTATGTTATGAAGGTTTTATTGAAGATTTGCTACACAGAGTATATATATTTGCTAGTTTACTGTGTATGAAGAATTATTTGACTATGTGATCTGATGATGTTTTTATTGAGTAAAGAAGCATGATCATTTGAGAATATGATTTATTATGAAAGCATGACCAGATTGTGATATTTGATCAATGAGAAGTGAAACATATTTTGTTGATAGAATTTATAGAATTTGCTATATTGCAAACCGAGCATGACGTTACATTCTTAAGTATTTCATGTTATTTTATACATGGTTTAGAAGCATGTTATAGAGAATTTTGACATTTCACATGTGTCATATTTCAAAAATACATAAGGGGCCAACGTGAGCCCAAAAATACTTTCAAAAACCATAAGCATGTGGTATATCATTCTTTGATGCATTGAGAAGTAGTAGAGTTGTTGCATGCATGAGATTGATGCATGAGAGATATATTTATGTATTATCTATATCGGTGAGGTTTTGGAGGATACAGTTTGGACTATGTCCTCTCGGGATTTATTTATGGACATTGCGGTCCCAGTATATGTAACGCGGCGTATTCCCACGTTACGAGATCGGAAACTGCCCACCAGGCTTGGAATCCTGGTTAGGGTGTGTGCTCACTAAGAGTTCGATACCTGATTCCACAGAGATAGAACCACGAGATTGGTTCCGTAGACGGTAGGAGACATTGGGTCGGATTTATGCCGTTCCCAATTGGATAATTCACGCATCGGTGAAATCCTAAGCCGACTACGAGTAAAAGAAAGAAGAGAGTCAAAAGAGACTCAAGAGAAAGAAAGTGAGTCAAAAGAGACTCAAGAGAAAGAAAACGAGTCAAGATAGACTCAAGAGAAAGAAAACGAGTCAAGAGAGACTCAAAAGTAAGAAAGATACCTCCACAATATATATATATATATATATATATATATATATAGTATTGCACAAGATTGCATATTAGTATGTTTATAGTATTGCACGAGATTGCATATGAGTATGATTATAGTATTGCACAAGATTGCATATGAGTATGATGTATAAGTATTGCACGAGATTGCATATGTGTATGTTTATAGTATTGCACGAGATTACATATGAGTATGAGTATATTGTTGCATGAGATTGCATATGAGTATGTTTTTAGTATTGCACGAGATTGCATATGAGTATGTTTATAGTATTGCACAAGATTGCATATGAGTATGATGTATAAGTATTGCACGAGATTGCATATGTGTAACACCCCCGATTTTTACCACATTTTTAAAACTTAAAAGCATAGAAAAACATATAATCATCAAAACAAAAAGCAACGGAAGCTATATAAAATCGGGGCGAGTTATGCCACGCCTATCTCAGACATAAGAGCACAGGCGGAAAAATATATCAATCCAACAAAGCATAAAGAGTCAAGGCACACAGGCCGCTAACTAGACTCACAGGCCAACAAAACATAACGTCTACACAGGCAGCTAATCTATCTAGCGATTCACGTCTAGCACTCTCAGACATCTACTCAAAACCTGTAGAACATGGAAAATAACATGGGGATAACACTGGTCAGCGAATCTTGCTGGTAACCCATCAATACGCGTTAAATAACATATATAGATAAGTATAAACAATCCATTTTGAAACGGAATACAGTATATATCATTTCAAAACCAAGGAGAGAAGTCAACTTCAAAGACTCATCAAATCACTCACAAAAGAAAGAGGAATCACCTTCCTCACAACAATGACAATACAACAAACATGAAAGACAAACAACGTAACTCAGGATGCATTCTACTGATCACAAAGTAGAATACATCAAGACGTGCTCATAAGCAAAAAATTCACATTCACACAGTGGCAATTACATGCCATAGTGACAACTACATGTCATGAGTATCATAGTTCCAACATTATGCCCTGTTCCAACCTTATGTCTACCTTTGGACTTATTTCAGTTCTAACCGTTACCTCCTAGTGCCACCCTGTACTTCTGAGTCCAACCTTTTGCCTCCAGGGACCATCGTCCCCCCACCTACATCCCTATTCACTGCCGAACTCTCAGTACACGAGGGTACCATTAAATATCATATCAGAAAACTGCCAAACTCGTGAGCAAAGCTCAAGTAACAAACCACCAATCTCAATCATAATCACACACAAGATCATCATCATAACCAAGAAGACTAAGACTCAACAATCGTCTTAATCAAGTATCAACAAAGGTACAACGATTTACATACGACCATATCATAGGAATCAATAAAGAGATCACAATAAAGACATGAGCCCGTACTCAATCAACAAAGGATTCCAATCTGACACCAAATGATTGTCAACACTAATTGGCAATCTCTATTTGAAGGAACAAACCACACATACTACCATATCAACATCAAACTAGCATGCTTATCAAATGGGTAAACCAAAACTAGTTCCAAAGAACGTTCATGACTCACATTAGTCCAACGAATCACAAAATTGGACCCTTAGCACGATTCATGACACCAAATCCTACATGGATTCCTAACATGCCGTTCTAGACATACGAAACATCAAGAAGACTCACAAATAGCCCAATAAAACAACATCGGGAGGTCAAAACATCAATACCGACACAAAAGAATCACGGGAAACAAATCCCCGCACATCACCAGCAGTGTACCCTGCGAGTGGGGCCACGGGTGGACAACCACCCGCGGGTACATACACCCGAGGAACTCTTTCCCCGCAAGTGGGGCGGCGGGTAGGGCCCTGCCCGCCATTTCGCCCGTGGGTATACCCTGTACACCATAATTATCCCTTCGGGGATTTTCAACAAAAATGCCAAGTTCAAGTCCAAAACACCCAAAATCTCACACACAACAACAATATGACTTGAACCCAAGAAATACCCAAGCAATGGCATTCAAGAACCCTAAGAACAAGCTCTAAAAATGCATCACCACAAGACAATGCATCAAATCTCACAAATCAACACAAGAATCACAAGTAGAAGCCAAGAAATCATCATATAAGTAAGAAAATAGGTTTTGTAAAGCATGTGTTACCTTTGTAGCCTATTAACTTCCTCTTTTCACCCTTAGATAGCCTTTTCCTAAAGCTCCTCATCCACACCAACTTCATACACAAACCAAAAGACAACAAAGATCCTATCTTTAGAAAAAGACACCTAAAAGAAGGTTAAAAACATCAAAGGACCAAGGATCTTACCCTCCCCTATGCTCAAGATGAAGAAAGTAGGAATCTTGGGAGACAAACTTGCAAGACTTGGATGCTCAAATTCTAGCTTGGAGAAGAAGCTAAACCATTTTAGAGAGAGACTAGAAGTTTTTGTGTTTTAGGTTGAAGGGTGAGTGAAATGAAGGAGTATTTCTATGTTAGCTAGAATCACAAACCGTAGGTGAGAAAGACATTCTTACCCTTACTAATGTTAGAAAGAAAAGGGAACAAGGGCACAACTCAATAAGTACAAGGTATAACCCTTTGACTTAAGTGACTAGTCAAAATCTAGTCCCTCGACTATTAAATTTCAGGATTTGTAGGAATAGATTAGCAAAGAGACTTGGATTAATTCTTTAATTAATCCTTGATTAGTGTTTGGATTTACGGGGTGTCACATCCTCTCCCCCTAACAAGAAGCTTCGTCCCCGAAGGTTGGGCATGACAAGTTCAATCAAACGGGTAACAATGAATCAACAATGTGACAAAAGGAAGCAAGGATACCATTAACCAAAACTTCAAGGATCCAAAAGGGGTAAGGTTTTCAAGAATCAAGAAATATAGGGTTTCAAAAGGTCACAAAAGAAGTTTCTCAAGCAACACCAACACCAACATCACCTTACAAATAGCTAGGAACCTCATACACCACACTTAGACTCAAAACAACTAGATTCTAACAAAGCAAAGCAACTAAACCAACTACCCAAACAACAAACTAACCACCAAGGCAAACATGAGAAAACAACTGAGCACAGCCAACAAGCAACAACTACAAAACGGCAACAACAAACGAGAGAGGAAAACGAGTTTACCCCTACTCTGGCCTAAGAGGAATCATCCTCCGAATCCTCGGCGTCCTCGTCCGAGTCTTCCTCAGTTCCACCACGGCTAGAACCGGCCTCCAACCTATCTAACTTCTGATTAACGGTGACAAACTGAGCCTTCATGAAAGAGAAGCCTTCCTCAATCACCCGATTTTGCTGACGAAGGAGGGTCACCACACACTCCTCGTGTGTCATAGCATCATGCTCCTTTTTGGTCCTCACTTCCTTCCTCCTTACATTCTCTTCGCTTTCAGAGTCGCTCTCCTCGACCTCTTCTGCTCCTTCTCCTTCTTCTTCCTCTTCTCTCTCTTCTTTGCCTTCGTTCTCAGCATCTCCACCCAAGCTCTGAATCGCTAGGTTCAACTTTCCAACAGGAATCTCAAGCTCTTCAACTAACGAACTCCTCTCGGCAGGGGCTTTCCTTGCAACCTCCTCAAGAGTGATGTAGTCACCATCATCCAGCTGAAACAGGTTGCAACTGCGGAGATTTGTGGCATCTAGAACCATCTTGCCCACCGGCTTGGGCACACATCCTTCAACACTCACTCCTTTCCTAACGAAGATCCAGCTTATCACCATGCCATAAGGCAAACTCTTCCGGTTATGATCTCTACAGTAGACCATATGTTGCAACATCAACACAGGCAAGTTGAACTTCACCTTGTATTTCAGACAAAAAGCAAAAGTGCACTCCAGTTTACCCAACAAACGACTCTTACAGTTATTAGGCAACAAACAGTCTGAAACGAGCATGACCAAAACCTTTTGCTCGGCAGAAAGCCACTTCCTCTCCAGCCTCGTGGCCTGGGTGAACTCACTAGTTCTTCCCAACAGGTAACTCAGATAATTCTGATAACTCATGTTGCTTGTCTCAATCCAACAGTCACCACTATACTATGAGACTCCCGTAGTCGTCAAACTCAAAAGCTGAGCCAATCGCTTTTCGGTCAAGACAATTTTTACACCTCCCACCTTAGAGGTAACTTCCAACTTCCCACCATCTTTGGTCACACACATGTGACGGTAGAATTCTTTTACCAAACTCGGGTATGTCTCGGTCCTAATGGCGAGATACCCATCCAACAAACCTTGGTAATTCAACAACTCGAACAAAGAATCCGAAAAAAGAGTCGGGATCAAAAGCTTTACCTTCCAAGACTAGGTAATGGGCATCCACCCATTCCACCATTCTCGCGGATTTAGAGCTCCTAGGCATGATCTGAGATGACTCAAAACCAATAAAGACTCAACTTCTCCCTTTCTCTCTTCTTCTTCCTTCTCGGCTTTTTGGCGATTCCGGTGGTGGGTCACGGACTCACGGCGGCCACGGGTGGCAAAGGCTGGCGCGATGGTGGCGTGCTCCGGCGTCTTCAGACAACGACCGGCGGTGGTGATCGACGGGCAGGGTGGTGCGACGGGTGGGGTGGGTTTTGGCTGCTACCTTGCCGGTAGAGGAGAAGAAAAGAGAGGGAGGGTTTTGGGAAATTTTGGGGAAAAGAAGATTTTAATTTGGGGATTTTTGGGGTAAGTTGAAAATTATAGGTTAAAAGAAATTTAAGTGGAAAAGGGTTTAAGAAACACAATTGGTTTAGATGGTCCAAATGTTGGGTTAGAAACTTGGAGGTTCGGGTTTGAAACTCATTAGTTACAAATTAAACTCTTTTTAACTTTTTAGGCTTAACTAATTAGCTTGGACGACACAAAGGAGTGAGGTTTGAATTAATTGTACACATAAAGCTCCAGGATTAGAATTAACATTAACATAAGGGAAACACAAGAAAGACACACTCTCAAGGTAAAAGGTAGGCTTAAGAAAGATTACCTGCCGACTCTTCCTCCACCAAACCCTCAGTCTCGGCCTACGACCGACCCATTACGAACACTCTACCCGGAGGCCTTGTCCCTGTCACACCTCGCCAGGAACTCCCTCCCGAAGGTCCACTAGGTCTCGCATTGGATGGCAAGGCTCTTTGATTAGCTTGGAGAGGGCACTCGAAAGCCTTGTGACTCCTTTCCCCGCACTTGAAACACCGAAGTGCGTTCCCTTGGAAATCCTTCCCAACGTGGTCCTTCCCACATCTCTTGCATCCGAAAGGCCTCTCTTTTTCTCCACCTTCGACCCGAGTCGATCCTTGAGGCGGGGGAGGTGCGGGTCTGGCTCTAAAATATTGTCTCGGCTTCTTGTAACTGTGGGACCCACTTCCTTCACTTCTCTTCTTGGTGAACTCAAAAGACCCTCGCTGAAGTTGTTGCACTCGATGCAAATCAGTTGCGCTCAGATAGGCTTCGTTCAGCGTCCTTGGCTTGCTCACAGTTAACGCCTTCCGGGCTTCGTAGTTGAGCCCCACCACAAACTTCTCGAACTTTGCCAACTCGGTGGGAACCAACGTCCGAGCAAAACGGGCGAGCTCAATGAAGCGCTTGTGGTACTCTACCATAGATGACGACCCCTGCTGAAGATCTCAGAACTCCTCGTACATGGCCACTCTAACGTGAGATGGGTAGAACCTCTCTCTCAACTTGTCCTTCAGGGCTAAGCAGTCGAAACCAGGCTCTTCTTGGCACGCGGGACTCTCGTGCACCCACCAGAGATCGGCCTCGTGACTGAAGTAGAAAGAAGCCAACTCCACGCGGCTATCCTAGGACATCCCACAACGGCGAAGACTGGTGGCCTATGCCCCGAAACTAAGCATCCCACGTCTCGATTCCCGGCAGGCAGCGGGGGAGGAGCAGGGTTGTTGTTATGCAAGAGGGCATCGCTCAGCGTCTGCATCGTTTGGGTCAGATGCTGTAGGTTCTGTGCCAGCTGCTCGTTGGACAGCGTCTCAGGTGTACGGGCGCGATGACGAGGCGGAGCCATGGCGAGACTTCTACAAAAACAACACGGTTACAGAAGGCACAAACAAACAACGCACACTTACCCGACGTTAACGGCAAGAACGCAAACACTAAACAGAAACAACGAAAAAAACATAACAAACGACAAACAACACACAGCTCACCACGCGTCCTAAAAGTCCTAAGTCCTACACACTTAGGTACTTAAGGGTCAGCTTATGGTCTCAAACCACCCTTAACTTCTTAAAGTCCAAATCCTAACATCCTAGGCTCAAACCTAGGCTCTAATACAACTGTAACACCCCCAATTTATACCACATTTTAAAACTTAAAAGCATAGGAAAACATCTAATCATCAAGACAAAAAGCAACAGAAGCTATATAAAACCGGGGCGAGTTATGCCACACCTATCTCAGACATAGGTACACAGGCGGAAAAATCTATCAATCCAACAAAGCATAAAGAGTCAAGGCACACAGGCCGCTAACTAGGCTCACAGGCCAACAAAACATAACGTCTACACATGACAGCTAATCTATCTAGCGATCCACGTCTAGCGCTCTCAGACATCTACTAAAAACTTGTAGAACAAGGAAAATAACATGGGGATAACACCCGGTCAGCGAATCTTGCTGGTAACCCATCAATACGCATTAAATAACATATATAGATAAATATAAACAAACCATTTTGAAACGGAATACAGTATATATCATTTCAAAACCAAGGAGAGAAGTCAACTTCAAAGACTCATCAAATCACTCACAAAAGAAAGAGGAATCACCAACCTCACAACAACGACAAGACAACAAACATGAAAGACAAACAACTCAGGATGCATTCTACTGATTACAAAGTAGAATACATCAAGACGTGCTCATAAGCAAAGAATTCACATTCACACAGTGGCAACTACATGCCATAGTGACAACTACATGTCACAAGTATCATAGTTCCAACCTTATAGCTACCCCCGACCTTATTTCAGTTCCAACCGTTACCTCCAAGTGCCACCCAGTACTTCTGAGTCTAACCTTTTGCCTCCGGGGACCATCGTCCCCCCACCTACATCCCTATTCACCGCCGAACTCTCAGTACACGAGGGTACCATTAAATATCATATCACAAAACTTCCAAACTCGTGAGCAAAGCTCAAGTAACAAACCACCAATCTCAATCATAATCACACACAAGATCATCATTATAACCAAGAAGACTAAGACTCAACAATCGTCTTAATCAAGTATCAACAAAGGTACAACGATTTACATACGACCATATCATAGGAATCAATAAAGAGATCACAATAAAGACATGAGCCCGTACTCAATCAACAAAGGATTCCAATCCGACACTAAATTATTGTGTAATCTCTTATTAATTCCCAAAACAGAGCATACTAAACATACGTGTTTCGGGTGCTATGCCACATCTGAGCTGGAGAACTCAGATGCACAGGCTAAACTATCTAATTATCCTCAAATCAATGTCATTACATCATCATGGCACGCAGGCCGAAAAGGAAGCTAACTATCTAAGCCTCGGGTTCTCTAGTGCGCTCCGGAGCTACTAATCTGTGCCTGAAAGCCAAATATATCTGTTCAGCAAATGATGCTGGTAACCAACTCCAACGCGTTAAAATACAATATAGGTATATATATATATATATATATATATATATATATATATATATATATATATATATATATATATATATATATAGATTTAAGATCATATGAGAACACCTGCTTAGGTGAGAACGTGAGAACAAATCGTGTGCATCCATCTAATAGTTTTTAATGGTCTAGATTAGATTAAGCGTGTGCGAATGCGCATTAAATGTGTGCAAACGCGATTAAGTGTGTTTGCACACATTTAATGCGCGTTCGCACACACTTAATCTAATCTATACCATTAAAAAATATTAGATGGATGCACATGATGTGTTCTTATGTTCTCACCTAAGCACATGTTCTCACTGGAACCCTACCCTATACATATATATATATATATATATATATATATATATATATATATATAGGAAAACCATTTTGAAGTAGGAAGATATATACTTAGGAGACTCTAGCTTTAAAACCAGGAATAGACTCGACAAGTAGGGACAAACACATTTAACAGTTATAATCAGACATATAAAGATACTAGCATATATTAAGGTTACAAGATTATTCCACATCATTCATATCATCTTTCAATCATTATCTCAACACATAAGCACACTTTGGTGGTGCCACAGGACCAATCGCACGCCCATACATGAGGGCCAACGCATATAGCGCTAACACGGCCCCGCAGCACCCTGCCTCGTATCGCAACACGAAGGGGTCGATCGCAACCGACCGATGAACCGCAACTCATCATAACGTTTTGCTCGCAACCATACAGTGGACCACATCCCAAAAGTGTATTTCTGATCGCAACCAGATTATGAACCGCAGCTCATGTAAAACGTTTGATCGCAACCAAGCGGTGGACCGCAGCCCTCTATAATATTTATATACCTGACCGATCGCAACCGGCCTGGTTAACAGTTGGTATGGTTCTCAACCCATCCAACTGCCCGTATAGCCAATTTGATCGCAACCAAATTGGGGTATCATGCACACATAACACATAGCAAGCACATGCAACCCACGTTAACACATTGGGAATGGGGAGAAAACGTATAATGAAACCTATGCGTGGTCATCCGCATACTAGGAACAATCCTAAAGGGGTTCATACATCTTTCACCTAGGCTAACGGGATACCAATTCAACTAGCATGCAATACACAAGACTCTTTTATCCTACGAACGGTACCCGAAATATCAAACTAGACTCAGGCACGATAAACGGAGTCCGTTCGGACACCACGAGGGTCGGGGAAGCATCAAACGGGGAAACCACCATCCCACATTGGGAGAAACCAGCGGGTAGCCAGCGGGTGGAGAACCACCCGCCGGCGGCAAGCCTCCGGGCAGCGGGTGCCCGGCGGGTAGGCGTCTGCCCGCCGGCTGCCCGCTGCCGGGGACTCTCTTTTGGGCAGCGGGTAGGTGGCGGGTCCCCCTACCCCCCACCTACACCCCACTGACTCCTTTTCAATATTTGGGTCCCGGGATATTTTGTGGAACCCGAAATCATGTTCAGACACTTTTAAACACGAACGATGACACCACGTATTCAAACAATGGATCAAAACCAAGAATCATATTGAACATATCCTAACATGACTTCTAAACATAATCAATACCCGAACATGCGAATTCCCACCCAAATATACCAAGAATATCACAATACGAAATTCACGATTCAACCTAGGGCTCTAATCATATTTAAATCACAAAATCATACCTTATCTTTAAAATCAAGAACATCAAGATTTATCAAGAATCAACACACAATTATCAAGATCTTCTTATAATCATTAAGATTATCAAGATCAACACATAGGATCATCTCATCAATATCAAGATCATATCATAATCATCATAAAAGATTTATCAAGACACAAGCATATAATAAGGAGCCAAAGAAGAAGATTATAGCAAGGAAAATAGGTTTTGTTGAGACATGGGTTACCTCTTAGCCTTAATTAATCCTCCCTTGGCTATTAAGGTTCTTCTCTAAGATTTCCATCCGTTTGATCTCCCTAGGCTTGGTGGTGGGGAATCTCCCGGGAATATTTTCGTATAACTATGGGTGGTAAAGGTTCTAATTGCTTTCTAATCCCTTATTTATAGAATCAGGAATCCTAATCATAATTTGAATAGTAAAGGCCTACATTCTTTATTCCTAATAGATATATAGGTCTAGGGTTCCTAACTAGAATCTTACTAGTAAAAGGTTTACTCTCTTTATTCCTAATAGGCTTAAGACTCTAGTTTAGGCAAGGGTCCACAATCCATGGTGGACCATATTAATTAATTAAAGGGAATCCTAACAAAATTAAATCCTTTTTAATTATTATTAACGGTATTAATTAAATAATTAATCCGGTATTGAAGGCCGAAACAAGGGGTGTTACAGGTAGGGCCCTGCCCGCCGTTCCGCCCGCGGGTACACCCTGTAAACCAAATTTATCCCTTCGGGGATTTTCAACAAAAATGCCAAGTTCAAGTCCAAAACACCCAAAATCTCACACACAACAACAATATGACTTGAACCCAAGGAATAACCAAGCAATGACATTCAAGAACACTAAGAACAAGCTCTAAACATGCATCACCACAAGACAATGCATCAAATCTCAGAAATCAACACAAGAATCACAAGTAGAAGCCAAGAAATCATCATATAAGTAAGAAAATAGGTTTTGTAAAGCATGTGTTACCTTTGTAGCCTATTAACTTCCTCTTTTCAAAGCTCGTCTTCCACACCAACTTCATACACAAACCAAAAGACAACAAAGATCCTATCTTTAGAAAAAGACACCTAAAAGAAGGTTAAAAACATCAAAGGACCAAGGATCTTACCTTCCCCTATGCTCAAGATGAAGAAAGTAGGAATCTTTGGAGACAAACTTGCAAGACTTGGATGCTCAAATTCTAGCTTAGAGAAGAAGCTAAACTATTTTAGAGAGAGGCTAGAGGTTTTTGTGTTT